GTAGTTAGTAGTAGCCTATATCCTTATAGTAGGTTACTAGGGCCCTAATAGGTTACCCCCTCCCTCCTAGTACTATCCCTAATACTATATACCTATCCCTTATCTTATATCCTCTCTCTTCCTTCTTATAATATTCTCTTTATATTATAGTTATTCTTTTATAATATTTATATTATTTTATATATTATAATTATTTTTATATCTTTTATTACTTTTATATTTATCTTTAATATCCTTTTTTTTACTAACTCTTTATATATACCTTATTATTATAATTTTATAAATACCTTCTTATATATTTTTTATTTTCTTTTTATCTTTTTATTATTTATTATTTATTAGGTATATATATATATCTTTAGTAATATATATATTTATTTATAGTCTTTTTAAGTATTTATTATTTATATATTATTTTTTTATAAGTTTATTATTATTTTTATTAATATTTACTTTTTTATCTTTTTTATATTATATATGTAGTAAATTATATATTTCTTTATATATTTATAAAGATATTCTTTATAATCCTCTTCTTTTTTTTTCTTTTTTTTCTTTTTTTTAACCTTATTAAATTTTATATATATTAAATTCTTTTACCTCTTTATTATTTCCTTCCTTTTTTATTATAATATTACTATTACCTTATACTTATTATTCTTTAGAATATTTTTCTTTAGTTTAACTATATTAACTAGCCTTTAATTTATTAATTTTATTTAATTTATATCTTTTAGTTTTATTTTTCTTTTTTTATCTTTTTTATTATATTATTATTTTACCTTTTTTCTTTCTTTATTTTACTTTATTACTAGCTCTTTATAACCTCTTTACTTTATTTTTACTTAGACCTTACTAACTTACCTTTTCTTTATATAGTTTAGTCTAATTCCCCTTTACTCTTACCTTATTATAACCTTACTATATCTTTACTCTTACTTATCTACTATTTTACTAAGGCCTTCTTTTAATATATCTATTCCTTTTTTATTATTACCTTATTACTTATTAACTATAACCTTATAAGTTATCCTTTAAGACTTATACTCCTCTTTTTATAGTTATTATAATAATAATTACTAATATTACTAATAAGTAAATATCTTATTACTTCTCTCTTTCTTATTTACTATTAACCTTTCCTAGTCCTTAGATTATTAGTAATATATATATTACCTTTACCCCCCTTACTTACCTCTTATTAACTTATTATATCTTTATAACTTTCTTTATATATATATATAATACCTTTATTATATAGTCTATAATATTAATAAGTAAGAGGATTACTACTCTTAGTCTAGTAAGCTTACTACTACCTTATTATTAGCTTATTACTAACTAATTACTTTATAGTTAGTTCTTTAAAGTATATTAAGTACTTATATAATAATAAAAATTACTTTATATTTATTATAAGTAAATAATAAATATATAATCTATTTTATAATAAATAATATTATAATATTATCTTTATTATAAATTAATTATAACCTTTACTTAGCTTTTTTATTAACTTATAATAAATTACTTTAAAAGCCCTTAGTTACTAGGCTATATCTAATTATTATAATCTTATTAAGTCTATATTATAAGCCTATTATTACTAGGCTCTTTATATTAAGTAAGTAATAACCTTATAAGTTATTATAGCTACTACTACTTTACTACTTATTATCTTTATAGTTATTATTATCTTATCTCTTTTTATTATAAATATTATTATTATAACTATATTATAAGCTAATTATAATATTATTACTATTATTATTATATCTTAACTATACTATTTTTATTACTTTATTTTTAGCTTTTATTACTTTATTATTAGTTTACTTTTTCTTTATAATTTACCCTTTATTAATTTATAATAATATTATAACTATTAGTTTAAGTTCCCCCTTATACCTTTATTACCTAAAGGCTTTAAGGTCTTTACCTTTATAAATATAAACCTTTATACTTACTAAAAGTAAGCTTATTATAAGGCTATAACTATTTAGTAAACTACCTAAGCTACCTTTACTATAGCCTTATAAGGTAGTCTTAATAAGCTTACTAACTATAAGGCTTTTTTTATTTTTAAATAATAAGCTTATTATAGCTTTATTACTTTTTTATAACTTTATTATAATTATCTTCTTAAGATATTTTTAATTTATATTTTTTATTAATATAAAATAATATTATAATATATATATTATATATTAAAAACCTTACTTTTATTACTCTTAAGTAATATACTTATAATAAAGATCTTATAAGTTTATTATATAATTATTATAGTTAAAAGACTTAGGTTATTTTTTTTTTATTATAAATTTATTATTAAATCTTAATTAGCTACTTTACTTACTTACTATAACTCTTTTATCTTCTTACTTTTTCCTTATCTCTTTTTATCTTAATCTTATAATCTTTCCTTATATTCCTTAATTATTACCTTTTTTATAAAATTACTATACTTTAGTTATAAGTTCTTCTCTTCCTTATATCTTATTTACTTTACTTAAAATAACCTTCTTTTCCTCTTATACTTATACCTTATAATTCTTTTAATCTTATATTTATTTCCTTTTATTAGTACTAAGTTATTTACTTCTTCTTTCTCTTTTATATATTTATAATAAGGTTTTAATAAGTTTATATTAAATATATTATAAATATATAATTTAAGTAATAAGTTAATTTAATATATTAGTTTATTTATTTTTATTTATTTTATTATTTTATATAATCTTATATATTTTATAATAAGTTTTTAATAAGGTTATTATAAGTATAAGTTCTTTATTAATAAAAATACTTAGTCACTTATTTTAAATAATCTTTTTACTTTATCTTTATTATATTATTATACTTAAACTTATTAGGCTATTTATAAATACTTTATTATATTCTCTTATATAGCCTCTTATATTTTTATCTTTATCTTTACTTATATATTTATTATTTTTTATAAACTAGATAAGGTTAATATTACTAGATTATATCTTAGTAAGATCTTTATTAAGGTTTTACTAGTTAATACCTATATCTTTATATTATATATAAATTATATTATTAAGAGATATAATAGCTAGTCTAATTAGTTTATTATATAAAATATATAAAGATAATACTTAATTACTTAGTTTATATATTTAGTTTAGCTATTAGTTTATAAGTAAAATATAATATT